CGCAATTTGGCAGCCAGCGAGGGACGCGGCGGAGGAGAGAACGCAGCTGGTCATGGTGGCAGCCATCGTAGCTGAAAAATGTGATGAAATAAACTGCAAGCAGAGCCGAGAACCAGACCAGCTGTTGATTTCGAAATCTCACTGAGTGCAAATCAATGGGATAGTTGCCTTGTTTTGAGACGCATCAGCTCAATCTGATGTTTTGCCTAGGTGACCTAGACAGCTTTCCGCAATCAAGGCCCAACGACAACCGTCGGATGCATTCTGAACGGCAGGGATCTACCATCCAAGAGCTGAGAGGCTTGGTTTGCTCTCTAGCTGGCTTTGGTCACCCATACCGCAAGTTTGTGGGAGCCCTAGAGGTTGGGGGATGAATCAAAACCAGGCACGTACGCAAAGGAGAACAGTGAGGTGGCACTTCGGAGGCCACGGGCCGTGGATTGCCAATCTTGGAGTCCCCTGATTGGCGAACGATGTTCGCTTTTCAACCCGCAATCCAGCAAAAGCCTCGGCACTGCTGACCACACCCACAAACCTCCCCTTCATTAGCGCACCCGACATTGAATTGAATGGGTAGTATAGGGCCTTCCCATTACATTTCTGCTGTGAGAAAGAAATGTAAGCAAGCTCAATCAGTACGAACAAATCAAGTCACAATACCCTGCATCTTATCTATTTGAAACGAACTCTTCACAACTCCTGTGAGTTCTTGCCTCCGGAATATATACTACCGTACTAGGGGTGATTTCCTGTTGCAACTACGCGTCACCCACTCATTGTGGGAGAGGGGCAGCCCCCAAATCCGCGAGCCACGCAGAGTGCAGGGGGCAAGGATCCGGCTTGCCAGCTGTCACTGCAGCTTTTGACATGTTGTGGAACCAGCCATTGCGCCACTCAAACTGGGGGGAACGGCACAGGGGGCATGGGAATGGGGAATGGGGGGCTTTTGACATGAATGCGCTGCATGAGAAGCACGGCATGCATGGGGGAGACGGGAGAATCTGGCTATGGAAGAGTAAGGAGAAACACCATGTGATAACTCAAACGACATGACATGTTAAATGGAACCACAATGTCCTACGAACAATCGAGCGCCTCAAATCATGAAATGTGCCATACAGCCCAGGGTTTAGGGAGCAGCAGCATCCGAAACCATACCACTTTAAAGGCTGTAAGGAAGTGCGCCATACCTTTACAAAGGCTGTGAAGAAATATGCCGTACCTCTTTAACAGCCGTGGGGAAGTGTGCCACTGAGCGAGCATAAGCACACAGCCGCTCCACCAGCCCCTCATCGAACCCATCCACCGCGCCAGCCGCCACTGCAGCAGCCGCAAGCTCGTTGATGAGCAGAGTCACGGCCTCCCTGTGTTGGCTCTCCACCTCCCCTACTGTGACACCGCCGTTCCTCGCTCCCACCAGCATGAACGCACAGATCCATATAAGCTTCTCCAGTTGAGGCCGGCGGAAGGCTGATGGGGAGAGCACCTGTGTGCATTGGTAGCCGGAAGGCGGGGTTGATAAGCAGAGTCACAGGAAGGGGAAGGGGGGGGGGAGGTGGGCAGGGGTGGTGTTGGAGGCCGTTGATCAGCAGAGGCACAGCCTCCCTGTGTTGGCTCTCCACCTCCCCCACTGTCACTCCGCCGTTCCTCGCTCCCACCAGCATGAACGCACAGATCCATATAAGCTTCTCCAGTTGAGGCCGGCGGAAGGCTGATGGGGAGAGCACCTGAGACAGCAGAAGTGGGGAGGGGGAGAGGGACAACTTTGTGATGGCGCCGTTCCTCGCTCCCACCAGCATGAACGCACAGATCCACATCAGCTTCTCCAGCTGCGGCCGGCAGAAGGCCGACGGGGAGAGCAGGTGCAGTCAAGGGTGGGAGTGTCAGGAGGGGAAGACATGGGATTGACGAGATGCTTCTTGAGACTCTCAAGTTGAGAGTGCCTCCGATCTTCCCCACTCTCACCTCGCAGCTGAGCCCTGCAGACTTGAGTCTACTAGCAACGGCCTCAGCCCACTTGCCGGTGGCGGCGGTGACCCCTTCAGAGTTGACGACATGGTTGAGTCTATTCTCCGTGGGATATATACTTTTATGCCCTATTCTCCGCCACTCTCACCTTACAGCTGAGCCCAGCAGACTTGAGCCTCGCAGCAACAGCAACAGCCCATTTGCCAGTGGCGGCAGTGAGCCCCTCGGGATTGATGTCCGTGATGCCATCCAGAGGCGGCAGTGAGCCCCAGAGAGACCCTTTGGGAAGATTCCACTCTCTCTTTTTCACCTTGCAAACTCAGCCCAGTTGATTTCAGCTTGGTAGCAACAGCATTTGCCCACTTGCCAGTGGCAGCAGTGAGCCCCTCGGGATTGACGTCTGCAATGCCATCCAGAGGCGGGTCACCCACTCACCTTACAGCTCAGCCCTGCCGACTTGAGCCTCGCAGCAACCGCCTCCGCCCACTTGCCGGTGGCTGCGGTGAGCCCCTCGGGATTGACGTCCGTGATGCCATCCAGAGGCGGGTCGCCCGCCTTGGCCACTGCAAAGTACACGAGCACCTGCGTGGCGTCCTGGAGGCCTCTTGAGGCGAGCCACGGGTCGAGCATTCCGTTTTGGATAAAGACCAGATCTGCAGGAGGAAGGAGGGAGGAATAAGGTGGAGGGGATATGGGAAGGGAAGAAAGGAGATTGATACACAAGCATGCAGCCCGCCTTGGCAACGGCGAAATACACGAGCACCTGCGTGGCGTCCTGCAGGCCTCTTGAGGCGAGCCAAGGATCAAGCATGCCGTTCTGAATGAAGTCCAGTTCTGGCAGGGGAATTCAGGCAGGGAATACAGGGAGGGCATAGGGAAACGGCGTAGGGGGAAGGGGATTGATACACACGCATCTCGCCTGCCTTGGCGACGGCGAAATACACGAGCACCTGCGTGGCGCCCCGCAGGCCCTTAAAACCGGAGTCTCAAGTATCCCGAAGTTGCCTCATCCTTCCTACCTTTGGTTGGGTCACAAAGTCCAACCAAGCTTCCTACCTTTGAAATTGTCACTAAGTCCAACCAACCTTCCTACCTTTGAAACCTGTGGACCCTGGGTTTTAAGCGGCGAGCCAAGGGTCCAGCATGCCGCTTGATGAAGACCAGGAATGGAAAAACGAGATAAGTGCGAATTGGCCGCGGGGGATGAACACGAGCATTCTATTGCTGCGTTGCAGACCCCTGGAAGAGAGCCACGGGTCGTATGAACCTCGTTACCAACCAATCCCAACCCAATGTACCTTCTCTCCTCAGTTCAGGCACCTATGCTTACCTTCTCGCCTGCTTTCCGGCACAGCATCCACGACCGCGTCAAGAGCATCGTTCCGCGTGCACACGATAATCGGTCCCTCCCCCCCTTCGGGAACCTTCTCCCCCCGCCGCACCACCACGTCCCGCCCTCCGCCCATCTTCTCCAGCGCCTGCCCCACGCGCCCCGCGCCGATTATCACCGCGGGGACCACTTCCGCGGATGCCATTGCGCGCGGAGCGGAAGAACGCGCGCGGAACGATGCGCGTTGCGCGGGGCTAGTTGCGCTATGCAGAAGCGCGCTTAGACCGTCGAATGCGGAGGTGGCTGGGCTGGTAGGAGTTGCGCTGATGCGAAGCGGAACGGCGGAAGGCACAGCAGCAGCGCGCGGAAGGAATGCCGGGAGCGAATTGGCGCAAGTGAAAGAGGCGGGGGAGGGGGCGAGGGCGGCAGCGCAAGCTCGCGAAAGCGGCATGGCGGAGGAAGAAGTGGCGGGGGGATGGGGAAACCGCAGCAATAAATATGACGAGCAGAATGCAGGAATTTCGCGAGTAATCTCAAGGTAGCTGGGGGGATCTTGAAGCATTGTAAACGGTGGGATTCCAGTTTGACATAACCGAGGCTACAGAAGTCACTACAAAGTGGTATGAACGGTTGCAATTGCATATCTTCCTTATTTCTTATTGCAAATTCAAGCTAGAGCTTGCACTACTAGAGCAGGCATGCTAGCATGCCTTTCTTCCAACACCCCTTGGCCAGCCTCAGCATGTCTCCCACCCTAAGACGCCTCCTTAACACACCCATCCTGAGTATAAAGGCACCCAACACCGCAACCCTAAACCCGGATTTGTCTGTACTACAGGGTTCAATTCAGTCAGTCACTGTCATGTGACCCTTAGGCACAAGCCTCTATAGTTCATTCTCTTTCAGGCACAACACAGCTAAGTAGTGTCAGTGTATCATGTGCCGTGTTGTGTGACTCGTGCCATGCCAGGTGCATGGACCATGTCTTGGTGTGTGGGACAGAAAAGCATGGTGTTATGTCATGCCATGCCACACGCATGGTAGTTCTGTGCGTGGCACGGCACATCAACGCACGGCTTCATGTCACCAACCCACAAGGGTTCAGCTGCAAGTCATTTCACCACACTGTACCGCATTGTACCGCATCGTGGTAAGGTCTCTTGTTCCAGGCCCAAACACATGAAGAGAGGTTGACAGGGTCACTCAGGAGCCAGCTGCATGTCTTGTTACCCCAGGCCACGTCACTGCATGTCACTTGCTCCACACCTCTTCCCAGCATGTCACTTGCTCCAGGGCCAGAAGCAGGAGGAGATAGCGAGGTTGCAGCCCAGGGCGAAGTTTGGCACACCGTCTCACTGCATGTCACTTGCTCCACACCTCTTCACCATCTCGCTTGCTCCACACCTCCTCCCTCCCAGCATGTCACTTGCTCCAGGGCCAGAAGCGGGAGGAGTTAGCGAGGGTGCAGCCGAGGGCGAAGCTGAGCACACCATCCACAGCCAGGAGCTTATCGCTTATCACGTCCTGCCATACCATACCACGCCATGCCATGCCATGCCATCCACCCCATGCCAACACAGCAGTAATTGCCATGCCCAAGGGTAGAGGATGGATGGAAACAGTCCACACAAGGACAAGTGAGAGGTTAGATTGTGTTCCTTTGCATGAGTCTTTTCATTACTACAATCACCATAAATAGAGGTCATTCAGTGAGCTGAGGAGAGCGAGATGGATCAGTCATAAGGTAGAAAGAGGAGAGGGGAGAGAGTGTGGGTTGAGGAGGGAGGAGATATTGGTGAGGAGGCGGTGGGGAAAGCAGATGGAGTGTGTGCGTTGCACTTACAAAATCAGGGTCCAGTCCGTCAACCTCGAATAACATAACTCCTGTGCCCGCCTCCTGGTTGGTGCGCCCCTGTTGGTGGTGGCGTTGGGAAGAGAGGAAAGCGAGTGCAATTAGAGAAACTGAAAAAACGAGAGATAAAGTAGGTACTCAAGGGCGTATAGGAGAAAGCAATGTGGAGAAAGGCAAAAAAAAAACAAAACAAAACAAAACAAAACAAAACAAAACAAAAAAGCATGAGGGCAATTGCAAGGTGCACGTGTTCTCCCAGCTCACCGCATGTGTGCAGATGAGCAGGCCAGAATCGGTCACTATCTTGGAAACTTCCGCCAGCATCCCTGCAGGTGCACGTGGAAACAGCGTCAGGGAAGGGACAGGGGTGCCGATAAGAGGGACAGCTCGAGGGGAGCGGAAGAGCCCGAACTGCATCCAGATTATAATATCATAGTCCCTCTTCACCACACTCACCCAACCTATGGCATCAAAAGAACTTCACCACACTCCCCCATTCTATGATATCACAAGCATTTGAGCTCACTCACCTGTGCGGTCGTAGCACTGCACGGCCAGCCACAGCACCACCTTTCTGCGGCCACTCAGGAACTGCCACATGGCAACGGTCTGCGTCTGCCACTCCTCAAACTCCGCAAACGCATCCACACACGCCCCCCCTCCTTCCGACGCCCTCCCTCCCTCTGACGCCCTCCCTCTCTCTGACACCCCTGCAGATTCTAATGATATGCTCTCAGCCCCAGCAGCAGCTCCTGCTGCTTCTGCTGCCAATGCCTGGGGCCCTGCTGCTGTTGGCTCCGGTACTGCTGCTACTGCTGGTGCGGCTGCTGCTGCGGACCCTCCCGTCTTGTCTTGTGGCTGTGGCGAGTAGCCCACTGCCTGTGGACGAGCCACGCCATTACTCTCTCCATTCTCTCTTCCCACCACACTCGCCTCTCCACCACCCCCACTTCCATCCAGCCTTGCTTCTCCTGTCACCCCCTCTAATAGCCGTGATACTAGCTCATCTACCCCCTCCTCTCTGCTCCCTACCCCGGCACCACCACTCCCGTCCACGTCATCTCTGGTCCTGCCTTCCAACAGCTCCACATCAGCACTAGCCAGCGACACGTCAGCATCGCCCGCCGCCAGCCGTGCGGATGCCACATCAGCAGCAGCCCCGTCATCAGAAAACCGCAAACCCTCTGAGCTGCTTTCACCAGCAGGATACCCTCTTCCAGCCAACCCTGTCTCAGATCCCACCTCCCCCGGTTCAACCCTTCCTAATCCCACCTCTCTCCCGCTCACGGTACCATCTATGCTCCTCCCCACTTCGCCTGAGCGCCCTTTTCTAGACCCTGTACCTGCTTCTCCCTCTCCCACTGCCGATCGCCCCTGCCTCCCTTTATTGGGAGTCTGGGGAACAGTTGTTGTGGCGGATGGTGTGGATAGTGAGGGGGGGCGGGAGGAGCGAGGTGTCGGGGAGGCTGAGGGGGTGGGAGATGGGGAGAAGTCAACTGGAAGTGATGTTGATGGTGACTGTATGGAGGGTGATTGAGTGGGTTGGCTGGTGGGGAGAATGGAATCCGAAATGAGAGGCCAAGTAGCTGATCCGTTGTTATTACCGGCCAAGACGCTGCTGCTGCCACCACCGCCGCTGCCACTGCTGCCACTACTGCTGCTGCTGTTAAAAGTGTTGCTGCTACTACTGCTGCTGCTGCTGCTGCTGCCAGCAGCAGTGCGGGTGTCAGCTGATTGCAGGTCGATAAGAAACTCGTTAATTCTGTCGGCCGTGATCTCATGCGAATTCAGCGCTCCCTGCTCCCGCAAGTACTGCACAATGCAAACGAAACAAATCCATGAGTAATTACTATATGCATCAATGTTGCGCGCTTTTAGGGTTCGCCTTCAGCGCCCCCGCTCCCACAAATACAGCACCGTGCAAGCAAAGATCATAGAATTGCTTGCAGACACGCATAAGCTTTTTGAGACCTTCTAAACCTTGCTTTCAACACACCCTGCTTCCGCAAGGACTGCACTGCACGTTGCAAGCCTGCAAGTCCTCGCCGTACCTTGGTGAGCTTGTGTCTGGCGCTTCTTGTCTTGGCGTGCTGCAACCACTGCTGACGTTGCTTGAAGCCCTTACGGGAGCCACCCGACCCGCCCTGCGGAAAGAAAGCGAAAGCGGGGATGATGGGAGTGGGAGAGGCAAGCGAAGCACAGACAGGCGAGCTTGGGTGTTGTGGAGGGGGGCAGCAGATACGGAAGAATAGAGGCTAAGGGGTTGACTTACACGACTCACTTTGTATGTGAGAACCACAGTGCTCCCTATCGGCAAAAACATGACGATCATAGGAGTGCGTAAAGAAACGAGTTACACGATATATGCGAAGTTGGCTCACACTACTTACCTTGTACGTGAGAACCTCAACGACCTCCCCATTGGAGAGGGCGTACGTGGGCGGGACGAAGTTTCCATTCACCTGGTGCAGTGGGGGAAGGGGAAGGGGAGAAGAGGGGGAGAAAAGGAATAGGAAGGGAAAGAGCAAGAAGAGTGGGAAGGAGACCCGGAGAGAGGGATTCGAAGGGAGGGATGGGGATGGGGATGGAAGGACGGGAAGAGGACAATTGTGAGAGTGCGGCAGCAGCAAGTATGGCCTTAGCTGCAAGTGTCTGAGCCATCATGTATACCATCACCCATGCCATCACCCATACCATCACCCATACCATCACCCATGCCATCATCCATACCATCACCCATACCATCATGTATACCATCACCCATACCATCACCCATACCATCACCCATACCATCACCCATGCCATCATCCATACCATCACCCATACCATCACCCATGCCATCACCCATACCATCACCCATACCATCACCCATACCATCACCCATGCCATCACCCATACCATCACCCATGCCATCATCCATGCCATCACCCATGCCATCATCCATGCCATCACCCATGCCATCACCCATACCATCACCCATACCATCACCCACACCATCACCCATGCCATCACCCATACCATCACCCATACCATCACCCATACCATCACCCATGCCATCACCCATACCATCACCCATGCCATCATCCATGCCATCATCCATGCCATCACCCATGCCATCACCCATACCATCACCCATACCATCACCCATACCATCACCCATGCCATCACCCATACCATCACCCATACCATCACCCATACCATCACCCATGCCATCATCCATGCCATCACCCATGCCATCATCCATGCCATCACCCATGCCATCATCCATGCCATCACCCATGCCATCACCCATACCATCACCCATACCATCACCCACACCATCACCCATGCCATCACCCATACCATCACCCATACCATCACCCATACCATCACCCATGCCATCACCCATACCATCACCCATGCCATCATCCATGCCATCACCCATGCCATCACCCATGCCATCACCCATGCCATCACCCATGCCATCATCCATGCCATCACCCATGCCATCATCCATGCCATCACCCAAGCCATCATCCATGCCATCACCCATGCCATCACCCATGCCATCATCCATGCCATCATCCATGCCATCACCCATGCCATCACCCATGCCATCATCCATGCCATCACCCATGCCATCATCCATGCCATCACCCATGCCATCATCCATGCCATCACCCATGCCATCACCCATGCCATCACCCATGCCATCACCCATGCCATCATCCATGCCATCACCCATGCCATCACCCATGTCACCCGTCAAATTGCACGAATCTCTTCTCACCTTGGCGGCCACCATTCGGTTGCCCACGTCAGTGTGGATGTGGTACGCGTAGTCAATCACAGTGGCGCCCTTGGGGAGGTTCTTCACCTCCCCCTTGGGCGTGAACACAAAGATCCGCGACCCAAACAGGTCGCACGTGACCGTATCCACAAACTCCCGCGCGCTGATCGCCCCCACAAACTCCTCCTGCCACTCGCGAATCGAGTTCAGCCAGCTCACCCGCCGTGCCACGTCAGCGTCGTTGCTCCAGCTGCTCTGCGTCTCAGTCACCCCCTCAGTCACCCCCCCACACACCGCAACGCTGCTGATGGTAGAGGCAGCAGGAGGACGGCCCGGCTCGTCGTCACTACCTGAGCTGTCGCTATCCCCCTCAGAATCATCTGTGGTTGAGTAATCCAAGCCTGGAAGCAGCAACCCAGCTAGATCCTCCGACCCATCAGCTAGCTGCTTCACCTGCCCCTGCCCCTCCTGCCTCCCCTTCCGCCCTTGCTGCGCCTGCCCCTCCTGCTGCTCGCCGTGCAGCAGCAGGTGGGGGTGGCGGCCGGTGTGGTGAGCAGCGATACCCCACTCGGCGAGCTTGTCCATGTGGTCGGTGCGGATCTGCACCTCCACGGGGAAGAGAGAGGATGCTCCCAGCGGCAGCACCGTGGTGTGCAGGCTCTGATACCCGTTCGGCTTCGGCGTTGCTATGTAGTCCTTCACCTGCCAGGGGGAGGGAATGCGTCAAGGGGCAGGTTGATCGGAGAGGTGGCACAGCAGCACGGCAGTGAGCAGAATGGGGTAGTGCTGCCCTGTGATCGGAGAGGTGCCTGGGAGGGAGTGAGCAGAATGTGGTAGTGCTGCCCTGTGATCGGAGAGGTGCCTGGGAGGGAGTGAGCAGAATGTGGTAGTGCTGCCCTGTGATCGGAGAGGTGCCTGGGAGGGAGTGAGCACCAGAAAGCATAGGGCAGCAGGAACCAGAATGGAAGGAGAGAGTGTGAAAAGGAGAAGAAAAGCTTACCGTGCCTGGGAGAGGCCGCCAAAGGGCGTGCACGAGACCCAACACATGGTAGGACACCTGCAGGGGGATGAGAGGGGGGGTGGGTGGATGGATGGCACAGTAATAAATTCTAAGCGAGACGCGTCAAACTTACACCAACCAACCAATACATGGTAGGACATTGTGTACCCCCTTCGCCCCCTAATCCCCCCTTCGCCCCCTAATCCCCCCTTCGCCCCCTAATCCCCCCTTCGCCCCCTAATCCCCCCTTCGCCCCCTTAATCCCCCCTTCGCCCCCTCGTCTCTCATTCGCTCCCTCGTACCCCCATCGCCCCTTAGTCCCCCCTTAGTCACCTGCTGCGCTATGTTCCGGGAGCTGCTGTCGGGCTGATCATCTGCATCGTCCATGGAGAGCACCACGCGGATCTGCGAGATCTCATGCGCCCCCCCCCCCTTCCCTACTCCCTCCTCCTCCGTCTCGTCCTTTCCCCTAACCCCACACGTCCCGGCCCAAACACCCCTCCCTCTTCCTTCCCTGTGCTCACCTGCTGCGCGATGTTCCGTGAGCTGCTATCGGGCTGATCATCCGCATCATCCATGGAGAGAACCACACGGATCTGCGAGATCTCGTGAATCTCCTCCACCTTGGCGCCTGTTTCCACCACCTTCTTGAATATGCTGCGATGGGAGGAGAGGGGATGAGGAGAGGAGGGTTGGGGATTAGGCAGCGAGGAGGGGGGGTGTTAAAACTTGATCTGCGAGATCTCGTGGATCTCCTCCACCTTGGCGCCTGTTTCCACCACCTTCTTGAATATGCTGCGATGGGAGGGCAAGATCGGAAGAAATGGGAATCAGGCAGGGAGGAGGGGATGAAGCGGAGAGGTGGGAGCAGGGAGAAGGGAGGGGATGACGTCTGAGATGACTGAGGGGTTTCTTAGGTCTCCTCCATCTTGGCACTGAGGTGATTCTGTGCTGTGAAGGGGGGGGGGGGGGAGAGCGCAGGCACTGAGAAACGGGAGGAGAGGCGATTGAGGAGAGGAGGTAAGGACAAGGGCAAGGCGAGGGCGGGCGAGACATGGGCACGGCAAGAACACATTTAGACAAACCCAGATGCGAAGGACAGCCACTCCTGTACAGTTAGTCATGCGCCATGTCACATCGTCCTTCCATTACTTGTTATGTCTCCTCTTACCTGTACGGTTCTTTGCACCGAGTCTCCACCCTCGCCCCTGAAGTCATGAGATCCAGAAACTTGTCCTTTTGCATCGCTTCCTCTAGCATCACACGTGCCTGAGCGGGAAGAGAGAAAGGAAAGGCAAGTATTTCATGATGACAAGTTTACGAGAACAAAGAAGACAGCTACAGATGACAAGGTTGTCTAATGCTGATACTAAACCCGTTTGATTTTATCCGTTTCAAGTGCTGATACGGACCTCATCCAGAGCAGTTTGTTGCTGCGTGCAGAGGTGCAGCATGCGCTCAGACACATCCAGATACTCCTCGGGGTACGCATACCGGAATGAGAGGTCCTCCAGCTCCGTCTGAAAGGAGGAGAATACGATAGGGGAGGAGAAGGTGGGTGTTGAAACCTCTAAAGAGCCACGGACAGGTGCAGCGTGCGCTCAGACACATCCAGATACTTCTCGGGGTACGTGTACCGAAAAGACAGGTCTTCTAATTCCGTCTGAAGGGAGGAGGATGGGAGAAGAGGGGAGGAAGTGGGAGGGTTATGAGACGTTGTCACACCTTGATGTGGTACATGCTGTGGCGGCAACGCACATGCATGCTGGCATTCCACACACATCACATCGCACACATGCATGCTGGCATTCCACACACATCACATCGCACACATGCATGCTGGCATTCCACACACATCACATCGCACACATGCATGCTGGCATTCCACACACATCACATCGCACACATGCATGCTGGCATTCCACACACATCACATCGCACACATGCATGCTGGCATTCCACACACATCACATCGCACACATGCATGCTGGCATTCCACACACATCACATCGCACACATGCATGCTGGCATTCCACACACATCACATCGCACACATGCATGCTGGCATTCCACACACATCACATCGCACACATGCATGCTGGCATTCCACACACATCACATCGCACACATGCATGCTGGCATTCCACACACATCACATCGCACACATGCATGCTGGCATTCCACACACATCACATCGCACACATGCATGCTGGCATTCCACACACATCACATCGCACACATGCATGCTGGCATTCCACACACATCACATCGCACACATGCATGCTGGCATTCCACACACATCACATCGCACACATGCATGCTGGCATTCCACACACATCACATCGCACACATGCATGCTGGCATTCCACACACATCACATCGCACACATGCATGCTGGCATTCCACACACATCACATCGCACACATGCATGCTGGCATTCCACACACATCACATCGCACACATGCATGCTGGCATTCCACACACATCACATCGCACACATGCATGCTGGCATTCCACACACATCACATCGCACACATGCATGCTGGCATTCCACACACATCACATCGCACACATGCATGCTGGCATTCCACACACATCACATCGCACACATGCATGCTGGCATTCCACACACATCACATCGCACACATGCATGCTGGCATTCCACACACATCACATCGCACACATGCATGCTGGCATTCCACACACATCACATCGCACACATGCATGCTGGCATTCCACACACATCACATCGCACACAGGCCCTCCAGCACGCACCTTGATGTGGTACATTCCGAGCAGGCGAGCGAGGGGAGCGAAGACACTGAGGGTCTCCATGGCGATGTACTTCTGCTTGTGGGGCTGCATGTGGGTGAGTGTGCGCATGTTGTGTAGCCTGTCCGCCAGCTTCACTATAATCACACGGACCTGCAAGGAGGGAAGTAGGGGGCAGCGCATTAATCACGCTGCCACGTTCACTCGAATAACCACGGACCTGTGAAAGGGGGAAGGGAGTGGGAACAGCAGGCAGCACATCAAATGTGGCGCAAATCGCTTGCCTTGACAATTGCCTTGCACACCGCCCCGCCTCAAACGTCGACACCCCTCAAGGGTCAGCTCAAACAGCCCCCAACGCACCTCTTCCGTCATGGCGAGGAACATCTGGCGCAGATCGTCTGCCTTCACGTCTGCCTTGCTGCCATCCTTCACCTTGCCCAGCTTCGACACCTGCCAGCCAGGCACACACAATTGGGGGCAGGGAGGGTGTCGACACGACAGTTGCAGGGAAAGTATAGAACCCACCAGCTGCTTATCCAATCAGCAGCATCAAACACAGCAGCTTCAGCCACAAGAATTAGTCCAGCAGTCCCTCACTCCATCACCGCTCGCAACACCATCCACCCATTCATCCACAATGCGTCTGACGGCGGGCCCATAGAAGGCCTCGATCTGCTCAAAGGACACCACGTCCGTGTGCTGGTGTGTTTTAAGTTGACTCACAACACATAATGTGAGACGCACCTTGGTTTCACCCTCCACAATTCGCCTCACAGCCGGCCCGTACGAGGCCTCGATCTGCTCGAAGGACACCACGTCCGTGTCCTCCACCGTGTCGTGCAGCAACCCCGCCACCACCGTCTCCCAGTCCATCTCCTGTTAGCAAGCAAGGGGCGGGTGTGGGGGGATGCGACGTTAGCCCATCCCATGCATGGCCTCGATCTGCTTGAAGGACACCACGTCCGTGTCCTCCACCGTGTCGTGCAGCAGCCCCGCCACCACCGTCTCCCAGTCCATCTCCTGGTGGCACGGTGCACAAGAAGGCGAGGAGGCGAGGTGGGAAGAGAGCAGGGAGGAGAGAGGCAGGTAAGCGAGGGTAGAGGCGTGTCTGCTACTGTGTCGTGCAACAGCCCGGCAACCTCCATATCCCAGTCCATCTCCTGGTGAGGAGGGGAGAGGAACAGGAGGGGAGGAGAGGAAGAAACCGGGGGATGAGGGGATGTGCATCAGGCGTGGCGCCTTTCTTTGTTGCAGTGTCTGTTTTTAGCATGTATGTACACATGCATGCATGCATGCATGCATTTATGTACGCGTGTGTATGCGCTACGTATGTGCTCTCATCCATGTGTGTGCAAGATGGGGTGACCCACCGACTCACCAGTTGCCCCAGTATCCGGGCGACCTCCATGGGGTGAATGATGCATGGCTCTCGATGTGCGTCACGTATGCATGCGCGCATGTATCCACGTAAGCATGTATGCATGTGTGCAAGATGGGGTGACCCGCCAACCAACCCACCAGTTGCCCCAGTATCCGGGCGACCTCCACGGGGTGAATGATGTACGGCTCTCCACTCTTCCTCTTCTGCCCATCATGAGCCCTGTATGCCAGCTGACCACACAACATGCCGTTATGGTTCCGCGCATCGGGTCGGGGGAAAAGGCGGGGAGGGCCCGGCCGGTGGGGAGCGAATCAGTAGTAAGTGAAGAAAAGGAGGGAGGCAAATGCGATACAAGATATCCGGCAGGCGCAGCAGCAGCAGCAGCAGCAGCAGCAGCAGCAGCAGCGATTGGAGCACAAACACATGCAGCTGCCGCAGCAGCGGAAAGAGAGGCCAGGAACGCGTGATGCAAGCAGGGAAAAGGAAGGTGAGAGTTGACTCACTCTCAAGGCGTGGCGGACGACTTGAAGTTGCGTGGGGGAGAGGTACGTGATGCACGGCAGCAGCTCCTGCGACAGGCAGCAGCATCCCCATCCCCACCCCCACCCCACATTCCACACGCATGCGTCAGTGGGTTCAAAAGCCAAGCGATGATGAAGTCATCTCATCTCAACGAATTGCTCTGTTCAGATCAGAGCAAAGGCACAGGCATAGTATAGGCTTGCAACAACGGTGCTGGCGCAGCAACGCTCAGCACCCGCTGCTCCAGTCGACTCCCTTCCCTCCACTTAATACTCACTGACCTCCCATAAAGTATCAGGAGTAACCGCCGGAGGTGCCTCAACAGACGCAGCAATGGTAAAAGACGAATCGCCACCTGCGCCGCCTGGGTACCCTGCAGTGCCGAACGAGGCTACAGCGCCGTTTCCGTTACTGTTACCCATCCCATTCGAGTTCCCTATTCCACTGCCTGAGTTTCCAGTGACGCCACTGCTGCTAGCATTTGCCCTGCTACTGCTGACTCGACCATTCCCTTCCGTCTCCCCATCATTACTACTATTTGAATCCGCAATGACTGAATCTCCGCAGCTGCTGCTGCTGCTACTGCTGGCGCTGGTGCTACTACCGCCTGCTACACCGCTTTCCCCCGACCCTCCCGGCTCCGACTCTAAGAATCTCTCTCCTGCGGACCCTTGGGATCCTCGCGCGAGAACGCGTCTGCGGGAGTAACGCCTACGACATCCCTGGAAGGACAACAAAGAGAGGAAAATATGCAAAATTACTTGAAGACAAAGATGAGGCCGTTGTTGAAGCAGTGGTTTGCGGGTATGATGTTTCGGGGAAGGATTGATGGGTGCGTACTGGTGAAGGGAGGGTGACACGTGGAGCTACGCCGACGCACGATACGCAGCCCTGTGCAGCGCAAATCAGGCACGCGCGGCCGTTCAGCCATCCGGATCTTTGCCTCGCGAAATCTTGACCGTTTGATGTGGAAGAACAATCAGCTGCTGCTGTTGTTGCTGCTCCTGCAACGGACCGACAATGCGAATTACGTTGCCGCGTTCGCCCCGAACCTGAGTTCTTGGTCTGTTGCGTGGTTCGGCGAGCTGGAAGGAGGCTAGGACGCAATCCAGTAAGCTCTGGAGTGGGAGATGAATGGGCACCAGCAGTGCATTGGATAAAAAAACAGTGTTCAAGCAGCTGAGGGAACAAGCCGATACAAGTGGATATAGGAAAACAAAGATACACAAGAAACACGTTAACCAGGATAACGGTCCTGTCAGGGAGAATCACAACTGACGTACAGCATTACCTAAAACTGTGAATGTGAGAAAAACATGGTCCGGCAGTGAAGAACGGACGTCCATACGGATAAAGACCGAGATCTTGTTGATACAAGACTCTGACGAGTCATTGATTGGAAATGCACGGGAAGCGAATGCTTAGGGTAGTGGATTGCCGGAAGAGTATGGCATATTCGTCAACTGCATCGACCGTATGCAGTGAATCTGATGCGGCGGCGCGTACGATAGGATAGTAGGAGCAGTGATGAGAACAACAGTGAGTCGGCGATTACCTGAAAGAGAACCTGTGATGGCAATCGAACGGTCTGAGATTCCGACGCGGGTCGCCATGGCACGTATCAGGAACGCATCAACCAGTGATGGCACGTGAGGCAGGGAAACCCTAACGATGAAACCACGGCACGAAGAGAATGCCTGACGCAGTCTAGAGGAACCGGACGCCTGAGTAACCTAGTATCAGCGACGCTGCGCTGGGCTAGGTTGATGGGAGCAAAACGCTGCTGCCACCTCTGGACGCATGAAAGGACAACTCTCTCACTGACAGATGGTCACAGTTTTCAAGGGCAAGAATGACAGAAACAAGGGGAAAAACGAATGGTACTGTACGGTAATACGGATGGACAAATGGATGGGTGGATTCGAACAAGGGCGTGAGAAAGAGATGGAAGGAGCATGTGAGCTACTCATCGGAGCAGTCTGCTTGCCAGAAGAGAATTGACGGACCGGTAGTTTGGTCAAGTGCAAGATACAAAAGGATGACACGACACAGAACAGCCGGTCAGGGGCAGAAATCAGGGTTGTGGTGATGAATCGAGCAGTGGGTTATGGGCGAGGTGCTCTCGGTAGAAGACGCTTCACAAACTGTCACCTTTTTTGGCAACAGTTTCCCCCAGCGCTCCTCCCGTCAGCGCATCGGAGAAGGCACCAGCCACACATCTGACGGGTTGACGAGATTATGGTGCCAACTTTTTGGTAAAATCGTCAGAATTTGCCACGTCCGCTCAGTCTGAAATGTCCATTAGGATCCTGCTTGAGTGGTTTCCGACCAATGGCAGCAGCATATTTTGACGGAGCAGCAGGCAACGAAAACAATCCCACAAGCGGATATTTCAGCTCCATGCACGCACTAAGAACAGTGGAAGGATTTGTGTACTCCTATGATAAACTACCTTAATCTCTTAATCACTCTACTCTCTCCACCCTTCTCTTTGTACAAAAAGGTTCCCATAGCAAGTGCTCGCTTGGACCAAGTGCTCGCTTGGAGCAAGTGCTCGCATGGACCAAGTGCTCGCTTGGCCCAAGTGTTCGGTTGGACCAAATACTCGCTTGGTCCAAGTTGTCACTTGGACCAAGTGCTTGCTTGGACCAAGTCGTCACTTGGACCAAGTGCTTGCTTGGACCAAGTCGTCATTGAGCCAAGTGCTCGCTTGGACCGAGTCGTTGCTTTGACCAAGTAATCACATGGACCAAGTGCTCGCTTGGACCAAGTCGTCACTTAGACCAAGTGCTCGCTTGGACCAAGCCATAGCCGTCATCGCAGGCGCCGAACTTGCGCACAAACCAAGCTGAAATTGCTTTGACAGGTGTATTTGAGCATGGCCCACCTGACTATGCAATAGCATTCGGGTCGTTTGATGCCTTTCCTTACGCATGTAGGGATCCATGCCCTTCCCTAGCATTTGTTGGCAAACACAGCCGTCATCGCGGGCGCAAAACTTTTCTTTACGCACGACCAAGCTGAAATTGCTTTGATAGGTGTATCTGAGTATGGGCCACCAGAATATGCAATAACATTCCAGTTGTTCGATGCTTTTCTCTACGCATGTAGGTGTCAAACATTATATATGTTACTGCTGTGTAGGCTACAGTGGGTTAGCCTTTAGGGGGTAAATTTCTCTAGGGTTTCATACTTGTACTCCCAAAATGTTTCTAGTTCATCACTTCTTGTTTCTGACATGGTATTAAGAGCGTAGGTTTAGACCTAGGATCGCTTACCTAAGGGCCCACCTTCCGCTAGAAACGCCCTCGAGCGCCTTAAAGACTTAGCGCCCACGAGCGCCTCTCTCCTAGTGCGCCCTCGTGCGCCTCTCCTTCACCTGCTGCCCGTGCGCAGCTCGCTAGTGCCGCGCGCGGCCTTTTTTTTTTTAGCGCGCATAGCCCGCTAGCAGGCCGCGCGCGGCCTCTTCTGCGCGCGCGCCGACCGTTAGCCGCCCGCACGACCAGCGCCGCCCACGAGCAGCCCGCTAGCCGCCCGTCGACCGGCCCTTCTGGCCGTCCAGAGCGTCGCAGCCCCGCCCGTAGGCCGCCGCGTCGCCCTCGTAGGCCGCCACCCGCGCGCGACTGCAGCCCACGCACAACCGCGGACCGCCCGCTACAGCCGCCCCAGCGCAGGCCCACCGCTGCGCCGAGCCGCGTAGCCTAGTCCGAGCCGCGCCGCGCCGCCCTGCCCGAGCCGCGCCGCCCGAGTCGCGCCGCCCGAATCGCGCCGCCCTGACCGAGCCGCGCCGCCCCACCTGCAGCAACTACTGTTCCTGTTCCTGCTACTGCTACTACTGCTACTGCTACTGCTACTGCTGCTACTGCTACTGCCACTATGGCCAGTCCTACTGTTCTCACCTTTGACGCTGAGGGCCGACCGATTAAGTTTGATGTCTGGCTCGATGACCTGCACCTGTTCCTCCAGATCACTGCCAATGATGACGTTTCCCTGTATGACCACACGTCCGGCGCTGCTCCCGCACCTGCTGCTACGGCTGACAGTACTGCTCGCTCACAGTGGCAGACTCGTGACGCCCATCCTCGCCTAGCCATTCGCAGCCACCTGCCGTCAGATGAGCGCGAGCACTTCGGCCAGCATAAGACCGCTAAGGAGCTGTATGATGCTGTAGTTGCCCGCTACTCCTCCCCTGCTACTGCTGCGATAGGCCGTCTCTCGCTGCCCTATCTCTTCCCGGATCTGTCTGCCTTCGCCACTGTAGCTGACCTCATCACTCACCTTCGTACTAGTGATCTCCGCTACCGTGCCGCGCTCCCCCCCGACTTCCTAGCCAAGAACCCTCCCCCGATATACCTCACCCTCTACCACCTCGTCTCTCGCCTCCCTGACTCTCTCCGCTCTGTCAGGGACCACTTTCTCGCTCTCTCACCCACCGATCTCACTGTCGACCTGCTCGAGAAGGAACTCCTTGCAGCTGAGAAGAGCATTGTAGCTGTAGGTGCCTCTCGTGGCGACCCTCGCACTCCCTTCTTTGAGGGATGTTCCCCCTCCCCCCTTCTCCCCTCCATTGCATCTGCTGCTGCTGTCGACTTCCTCGGTGCTGAGGGGGCCGGAGCTGCGTTCGCTCCCAGTGGGAGGTGCAAGGGCGGCAGGGGCAAGGGGAGCCGGGTGGCGGAGGTGGCGGCGGGGGAGGTGGTGGTGGAGGGGGTGGAGGGGGCGGCGGCGGTGGCGGCGGTGGTGGGAGTGGGGCTGGTGGTGGGGGGGTCAGTGGCGGAGCCGGGGGTGGTGGCGGCGGCGGTGGTGGAGGTGGCGGGGGTGGTGGTGGCAGTGGCGGCGGCGGTGGAGCTGGTGGCGGGCGCGGTGGAGCAGTGCAGCGTGGCGGGTTCGGCGGGGGCCAGAGGCAGCAGCAGCAGCGTCCCAGCGAGCCCCAGTCGCCCCAGCAGCTCCGTGAGTGGTACTCTCAGCGTGGGGGGTCTGGGGGTGGAGGTACCTGCCCGTACGTCATCCGCACAGGTGACCGCACTGGCCAGACTTGTGGGAGGTTTCACACGGCGCAGCGCTGTTTCTTTCGCCTTGACGACGCCTGGCGCGAGCAGTTTCCTGACGCCTCTGAGCTGCCCCGCTGGGCTGATCTGCTGAAGAAGGGAATTGATATCTTTGCTCTTGATTATGATGCTATCCTTGCTGCTATGTATGCATTGACTATTAGTGTTGAGGGTGACTGTTACCTGCGTGTACCGCCCGACCCGGGTATTGGGACCAGTGAGGCTGCAGCTCTAGGTGCTCGTGCGTCTGCTGCCCTAGGTCCTGGTGAGGCTGCTGCTCTAGGTACTAGTGCGTCTGCGTCTGCTGGTACCGCGTCTACTGAGGCACTGCACACCTTCACACTGGACTCAGGTGCTTCCCGCTGTTTCTTTCGCGACCGCACTGCCCTAGAGCAGCTTCCTAGACCAGTTGCTGTCTCCCTGGCTGACCCCTCAGGGGGTCCGGTCCTTGCGACCTCCACCACTGCCCTCCCCTGTCCTGCTGTCCCGTCTAGCACGCTGTCGGGCCTTTACCTCCCCTCGTTCTCTACGAACTTGGTGGCGGGTTCCGCGCTCCAGGACGCGGGTGTTCACCAGTTCACCCCTGCCTACGAGCGTGTGACGCACTGCACGTGTGCCCTGACGGGTCGTCACCTGGCTACCTTCACTCGGCAGCCGGGGTCGGACTTGTACACACTGACCACTGAGTCCCCTCAGGTAGCTGCGTCTGCGTCTGCGTCAGGTCAGCTGTCGGCCCCCTGCTCGTGTCGCTCCCTGTCGCACCGGACTGTCCTCTGGCACCACCGCCTTGGTCACCCGTCAGTGCAGCGCCTTCGCGGCATGCACTCCCGGTACCTTGTGTCTGGTCTTCCCAGGGTTCTCCCTCCCCTCCCACCCTCGCCTGCTCCTCCCTGTCTTCCCTGTGTCGAGGGGCGGCAGCGCGCTGCTCCTCACTCCTCCTCGTTCCCTCCCACAGAGGCTCCCCTGCAGACTCTCCACCTGGACGTGTGGGGCCCAGCCCGCGTTCGGGGACAGGGCCACGAGCGGTACTTTTTGCTGGTCATCGACGACTACACGCGCTACACCACGGTCTT